CTCGGAGAGCCAATCAGCGCAACTTATGGAGGCAGCTCAGCAAAAGACGATGCGGAAACATATGTTTAGAACAAAAAGCGCAGTCTGATGTTCATGATTGTACTACCCAAAACAAGGCCTACCAAGTTCCTTTGCCCAGTGCCTCCTGGTCAACAGGGGAGGCCTACGCGTTCCGCATCTCTCTCACGGGAAACGCGACCCAGAAAAATGACACCAGAATGTAAATGAGTAATGAACCTGCAGTTTACGAAAAGAACTTGGATGAGTTATAATGATTCACTAAGGCGAACTAGAAGTAACCCTTCCATACATAAATCCAATATCTGGTCCCCGTCCCGATGGCATGACATACGCCTTCTTAGCTCACATGGGGGCCGGTCTTAGGATTTAGCTGCTAAAATGTTTTAATCAATCTTGGGCAGATAGAGAAGTACCCGATGCATGAAAACGGGCAAGAAGTGTTCTTTTACTGAAAACAGGCAAGTCGGGACCGCGCCATGTGGCGTTTGAAAACCGTGCAGAAAAATCGATGGGAAAGATTATTGATAGTCGCTTAGCATATCTCGAGGAACAATATGTGTGCCCCAAAAGAATGTATGGTATCCCGAGAGGACGGAGTTCAATAGGTTATGTTCTTGACCGTGTTAATTTTGTAGAAGAGGATGAGTGCCATGTAAAATCACGATCGCTGCTTTACTGAACGTGAACGGGGTATTCGATCATGTCATACACGATGCTATCTTACAAGTGCTACGGGAAGTTGGTTTGGAAAGTGGTTCCTCCGCATAGGTAAAAAGTTACCTTTCAAAAGTTGCAATCTTTATGATATCACGAGAGCGTAAATCCGTCGTTCACTACTTCACTCGAGGTGTTCCTCAGGGAGGCTTCTTAGACTTAACACTATTTAATATAACACTAATTTGCCGTGATCAATTGCTACTATTCCGCCTTAATTTGTAATTGTTTGCAGATATATCCAGATATAGGCATCCTGTCTACTCGGGTGAAAGCAAAGGCAAGAGTACAAATATATTTCAAGGGGCTCCATAAATACCTTTGCTACCGAGGCCCTGAAATTTGTCACCAAATCATCTGCCATCGCGTTTAGCCTACGGAAAGTGGAGAGATATCCGCTACGTTTATGCGGCCAAACACTTATCAACGTAACGGGAAAAATGTTCCTGTGTTTATAAGCAGAGGATAGACATGGTCACATCATATTACTTAGTTAAAAGCAATAAGCTCACAAACTTTGTCGGCTATTTTTTTTTTTTATTAGCGGCACTATGTTGAGCGCGACAGTACCGGCTCTCCTGCGGTTAAATTGGGGCTCTTTTACTAGGTTTGCTTCGGTAGTGTCTCCCCATTCTTTATGCGATGTTTCAAACAAATCCAAAGAAAATGAAAAGAATAGAAGCACGTGCTCTTCGCGTTTAACTTGTCTTGGAATTCTGGTTGGTACTTCGGTCATGGTCACAATTGCAGAGGCTCAAGAAACACGACTAGAATATCTATATATCATAAAAAGTGAGAGCCAATTTAAGACTTAGTGCAAAACATGGCAATTCCCTTTTGCCAATAATGACTTAAAAGGACAATAATCAAGCCCCTCAAGAGCTCTGTCCCAAATGGTACCCTTTGTTCCCGATGATCTTGCGCCATCTAAAATTTCAAAAGCGCCACCATGGAGAGTTCCTGAGCCTCATGTCACAGTTGAAAAAGGTAGAAAGGAAAAGCAAACACGCCAATATTTGCGATTATGCAACTTAGTTTATATAACATTGTGTATAATCACGCTTCAACGAGTCATGTTTATACCAATGGATCTACTACTTTCGATAGTTCAACACTGTTGTCTGCTATTGTTTCAAAACATCTCACAACGACCACGTCTAAGCTGTCGGGACAAGAAGCCGCACGGCACGTGGAGAGACGGCGCCGCTGGTGGGACGAAAAGAAAGAAGAGGAAGACGGAAAGACAAGGCTCGTGGCGGGGCGAAGCGCGAGGCAGAACAAGACCAGGACTCAAGGCGAAAAGTCGAAGACATCGAGCCCACAGAAAAGAGCCGCACCACTGCCAACCTTGGCCCACCTCCGAGGACTCATCGATACAAGAGCATCGATTAAACCTTTCTGTGATGATAGCGCTTCCCCGTCTAACCTCCTCGGAGTGAATGGAATTCGGCCTTATCGGGCAATATCGACGGGCGACCCACATGACTGGCGCTTCCAACGTGGGGCCCGATCAGTCTGCCGCTCTTTCTGTTCGCTCCCAGGGAGTCCCACGAATCGCAATATCTAAATTTAGGATTCCTTTGTTTTTTTACAGCGGTGCTGTTAAGAGCTAATTTCCCCAGTGTCGTGTCTGAGGGCAAACAAATGCCGACACAAAACTTTGGACATTTACTGCCATCTATAAACGACGGCGGCAACCAGACAACGGGCTTGTCGGTTGTCTGGTCGCCGCCATTATTTATTGATGGTGGCAACTTTTCTAGCCTTTCTACTCTGGCTTGCCGACTTGCAGCAGGCCATTACTTTATTCCCACCATAGTATAGCTTCACTGGTCTCCCTTCTTCAACAGAATGGAAAGGCGGGAAGTTTTCCTATAGAAATTTTGTTACCCCACTGGACACCATTGACTTTAATGTTCTGCCGCCATGTACAGGTCTCGGAATAAGGCCACCTCGCCAGAGGCCTCAACCCGGTCAGTGGCTGACATTGACTCGGACATGGGAGAAGGCACGAGTGGGCAAGCGAGCGTTGAGGCAGCGCTAGAGTCCCCAATTTCAGCGGTGAACAAGGAAAACACCAGCGATCTAATGCACGCCATGACGGCGATGTTCGCGACGTTTTCTTGACAGATGGGTTCGGCCCCAGGGTGATGAATCCCGTGCCTACGCCCGTGCCCCGCCCACGGTTGAGTGTGCTGACGCCGGCCTATTCGGGCTGCTCCGACGGAACATCGGTACACGATTTCTGCAGGATATAGACTCGGACACTGCCGGGTCGAGCGCGTCCGGAGTGATGGCCCTGATACGGATCATCCCAATCGCGTTGACGGGCAGCGCAGCGCGTTGGAGACGAATGCAGAGGCCGTTCCTTTCGATGGAAGATTTCCGTGCACGGTTCAGGGAGGAATATCTGCCTCCCGATTATGAGATACGGATCAGAGATGAGCTAGTCATCCGTACTCAACACCCGGACAAGAGCCTCATACAGTACATCCGCGACCTCCAGAAGCTCTACTCCAGAGCCGAACCTACAGCGTCAGACGCCGAGAAGGTAGCTAGGGCGATCCGCCAGTGCCACCTTAGCTTTAAAACCTAGTTGTGCGGACGTGATTTCACTGATCTGGAAACATGGAAACACTTGCCAGAGAGGCGCGCACCATTCAGGCGAGCTTGCTCGCAGAGTTGAAGTATCGCCCCCCTGCACGCGCTGAGGAATCTCTGGAGCCGAGTTGCGATTGGACAGGACGAGACGCGGGCGCTTGCGATGACCCACGTATGCCGTACGTGGCCGTTACAGGACACAGGAGTGGCGAAACTGCTCTGCCCCGCGCCTTGGATCCCTTCACTTTTCAACAGAGGCGCAGAGCAGCCAACGTGGGCTTTTCCAGGACGTGGCGTGTGCAACCGTCTTGTGTGTAAAGAGGGGAAAGAGTGTCGAGGTTGTTACATATATTGATTATATATGAAACGTAGTACTTTCCTTTCAACCATTTCCAGTTTGTTTACACTGTGATGCCTCGGTAATATGGACGCCTCTGTTCCTCCCAAATATGTTATAATGTGAGTTGTCCATAATAACAAGCCAAATATGCATGCATTTTCCCAGTTTGCCCTCGAAAAGGGTGTCCATATAGCGGGGCATTCATATTAGCGGGATCCGTATTAAGGAGACATGACTGTATCTCCTTGTGTAGGATAGTCCCAAACGGCTGATACGTACTCGAGTACTGGGCGAAGCAAGGTTTTGTTTACGCAATCAGCTTAGTTGATCTGGTGCAATGCTTTAGATTGGGTTTTAGGTGCCAAAGTTGGCCTTGGACTTAGCGTACAGTTGTATCAACATGAATGTTCCACCATAGGTCCGCTGAAAGTGTTACGCCAAGGCATTTAAAGTTCGAGAGGCTTGGGAGAAAGTTGTTTATTGTTTAGCAAAACGTAAACGGACACTTTTTTCTAGCTATGGTCACACTGACATTTTTGGTTGGGTTAAATGACCTTTGCCAGGCAGAGCACCAGTTTGAGAAATCCTGCAAAGGTTTAGTAAAATAAAGCTTGTCTTCTGATTGTTTTATATCGCGGAACAAGGTACAGTCGACCGAGAACTTTCTTAATTTCGCTTTAACACGGCAACCCAGGTCGTTCATAAAAATAAGACATAAAAGAAGCCCCAGGACAGACCCCTCTATATGGCGACTTTCCGCACGTTCGTGTCTGCTGTCTTAGCTCAATTTATTGTCTCATGTCGCTATATATATCGTGATTCCGTTTTCCCATATTCTGAGAACTGATACGCTATCGGAGGCGGCCTTTTCTACTGAAGAAGAAAGAACAGTATAGGCCAATATAGTTCGGCCGTGACAATTCCTCGTATCTGTCTACTGCTTTGGCTGTTCGTATAATGCGGCAACATTATCTACAATACATAACGGCGGGGCGGGAGACAAAAACACCAGGTAAGCGACCTCACGCGACGATAATGTAACGATAAGAGAGCACAGAGCTCTAAAGCGGGTAGGCAAGAAAAAGCTCCTCTTGTCGAAGTTCATTATTCGCACAACCTTCACAGGCAAGCGCCGTCGAGACCGACTCCACTTTTGAATAGCCACTCCCGCCATTCATCTAGGTCATTTTTCACCGTTAATGTCAAAGAAGGGTAGAACACCATGTCGACCTTTTCAGAAAACAAGATGAAATCCGCCGTTGAGCTCAGAACGATGCCGCTCGAAACCCTGTGCGATGTCTACATCTGTTTCGAAGTCATCGGGCTTACAAGCGCCAGGTTACTCTTTTCTTCCACTCGGTCCATTTCTAGCTCATCCAAATGTTCTCTGTGCACGTCTCTAAAGCACTGGTCGGTCCTGGTGTGTTATGATGACCTAACGTTTCTTTGCGAAGCCACCGAAGTTGGAGGCAAGCTGAAGTCGTACTTGCGTCTGTTGCCTGAAAAGAATCAAACGATGTGGGAGCGGATGACCCCAAAGGTAAGCAACATTCTTTTATACTGAGTACGCCTTACTATTGCCGATAAATTTACAAATGAAAACATTTTATGTTATGGCCTTACAGGCGTGCCCAAGCTCCCTTATTCGAGACATGTTTTCACCGTCTAGAAACTCAAGATAATTATCTTTCTTGTGGTTTTGATTTTGAAGGTGTGCGGGGGATAAGGGCAACGATTCATTTGACTGCCGAACCACGTTATTCAAGCCTTCAAGGCTTTGACGGGTTCGAATATTTCTGTTGAAGATACAGAAACGAATAAAATCATTATTATTAATTGACTGATTCATTATGGTAATATTAATCTTACAAAAGAATAGAAACAAATAGCATAGGAGTGTAATTTGTTAACTCCTTAGAGTATCAAACTAGTGGCGTAACTCCGTCAACCGTTACTCGAAATAAGTAACGTAATACGTTATCCGTTACCACTTTGAAAATGTAGCAAGCACGTTACTACTTTACCGAAAAAGTAATTAACGTCGGTATTTACAACGCGTTACGGCGAATACTGGCCTCAATAAAACGTGAAAGATCCGACTTATTCCTATCGATGAATATCTGAGCGGCAGCACGTGAAAAATGCTTCATTAAATGTGGAGCGGCCCTTTTAATTGATAAAGAACGGCGCGTGTAACGCTTTTATGATAAGTTACCTGCCGCCGGGATCTAACCAATAATTGTTCCTTCTGTGCTACCTGATTGATGAGAGCGCAGAACCTAAATAGGTGAGATGCCTGTGTCACGTAGTGTCATATACCACGTGTGCGAGAGCGTCGAGACGTTTCGTCAGAGAATGTAACGAGTGCAAACTTTGTCGCATCGCACATGACTGCTCTACGCAGATAGACAATGGATACAATGCCATATCTCTATGAATGCTGATTGCCAACGAGCGGGTTTTTCTCGCCGGGTTTTCCCATTTTGTGCGGCACCTACGTCGTACCGGGGTCTGTTTTTTCCGTTGGAACTGTAAACAATTATTGACGAATTCGTCGCGCGGATTGACTTTGAAAATCGATGGCCTTTTTTAACGTCCCCTATTGCTTCATGATATTAAAAATTACTACTAGAATTTGGAGAGCCGGGTAGTTTCAAGAAAAAGCGTTTCTTTTTTAAACGACTTGGATCTCCAAATTTTAGTAATAATTTTCATCAACATCCTCGAAGTCTTTTATCGCACTTAAAACTACTATATATATATATATATATATATATATATATAACGGGCATGGTGGTGGGTGGCCGAAGGCGTGGGTATAAAACTGAGAAGAAAAAAACCCTTAGTGAAAACAGCAACAACGGACGATTTAATCTTCGACGTTTCGGCCGGAGTCCGGCCTTCGTCAGGAAGAACTTTTACAGATGAACGCGGGTGGTATTTATACAATGCTACGGTCGAGTCCAAATTTCGGAGGGGTGACGGTTGAAGCTTTCGAGAGAGGGAAGCGGAGGGCAGTTCTTACCCGGGTGAAGAAGCTTGACGGTCGGTGCCAAGTTTCAAGGACGGCGGGATGACGGTTGTAGCTTCTTGAGAGGGGGTGCAGGGTGACTTTGTGTCCGGGCCGGCAGCGGTGACCTATACAGACGATAGCGTACAATAGACGAAAGTTACACGCGCAAACTAAAGTGCTGTCTGAAAAAAAAATAAAAAAATAAAAGGCGGCACGGTTACTTGTGTGCATGCAGGCATGCATGAGTCAAACCTGGAAGGGAACAATGTTAAACCTAAAAGTAAAAAGAAAAACAATGGATATCAGAACCTAGAACCATCAACTTTTCTTTTATTTCTAGGTTCTGATATCCATTGTTTTTCTTTTTACTTTTAGGTTTAACATTGTTCCCTTCCAGGTTTGACTCATGCATGCCTGCATGCACACAACTGACCGTGCCGCCTTTTATTTTATTTTTTTTGAGACAGCACTTTAGTTTGCGCGTGTAACTTTCGTCTATTGTACGCTATCGTCTGTATAGGTCACCGCTGCCGGCCCGGACACAAAGTCACCCTGCGCCCCCTCTCAAGAAGCTACAACCGTCATCCCGCCGTCCTTGAAACTTGGCACCGACCGTCAAGCTTCTTCACCCGGGTAAGAACTGCCCTTCGCTTCCCTCTCTCGAAAGCTTCAACCGCCACCCCTCCGAAATTTGGACTCGACCGTAGCATTGTATGAATACCACCCGCGTTCATCTGAAAAAGTTCTTCCTGACGAAGGCCGGACTCCGGCCGAAACGTCGAAGATTAAATCGTCCGTTGTTGCTGTTTTTCACTAAGGGTTTTTTTCTTCTCAGTTTTATTTATATATATATATATATATGTGTGTGTGTGTGTGTGTGTGTGTGTGTGTGTGTGTGTGTGTAAGTAGGTCTCCCGCGACCAAACAACGAAATTGTTTCTAGAGCGATACTGCAATTGAAATGTTTATCTCTTTGCCATGTGTATAAACGTAATAAGACCGTCGGTGAGGCCGCTACAACTGCGGGGGCGGCATTCTTTGGGCGTTTTGCGCACTTTGCCGTTTTAATATCTATTTCGCACTGCCACCGGTATACCTAAATTTGTCACGTGATACCTGTGTTGCATTCGTTACCGAAAGAAAGTAACGTTACTCGTTAGTCCAAAAAATAAAGGAGCGCGTTACCGACCTACGTTACCTCGAAAAAACACGTTATTTTTGCGTTTCTTTTCATCCATAAATTGACAATAACAACGTTTTTCTTCTTTTTGTGTGTGCTTGTGTGTTTCGTCAACCGCGTGTTAATGATTGATGATCCCTTTCGGGTGAAGAACTCCTATCAGATAATAGATTTTTTTAAAGACCCTCCAGACCGAAGCTTGTTGGCTTGCTCAATTGACATTAAAGATTTGTACTATTCGATTCCCCATAAAGAGCTGCTGGCTTCTGTGGAAGAATGTATTGACAATCATAGTACCGTGGCGTCTCAGAATGAATCTGGACTTAGTGTGAGTCACTTTCTAGAACTTTTATCTTTTTATCTCAAGTCGACGTTCGCGATCTGAGATGACGGTGTTTTTATTCAGAGAAATGGCGTGTGCAAAGGGTCATGCATAGCCCCAGTACTTAGCGATATATTTCTTGCGTTCCACGATAAAGTCCTGTCAGGCAAGCTGGAAGGAACCAAGGTGGGGAAAATTTTTAGATTCGTAGACGACTATTTGGTGCTCCTAGATTGTCAAAATGAGGAAATAGATTCGGCTGTGTCGTTTGTCCTGTCAACGTTCAAAGAGTGTCTGAAACCGCTGGTGCTGACGCATGAAGTACAGTGCTAATCACACTTGTCTATAACGCGCGAGCGTGCGGCTTTCTCCGGGGAGCGCTAGACTGGTGGCATTCGCGGAAACTAAGCTAGTCACGTGGCGCAGCATGGAACGGCCCGCTCGAGGGGTGTCCTGCCCACTCTATCAGCTGGCGGCGAACGCGGAAGGCTGCTCGCACGCTTTTTACAAGCATAATTGCTCGAACAATAAACAAACCAAAGCATGAAGGCGTATCAACGATGTCGTCATCAAAAAACAAAAAAAATATCATAAAGCACTTCACTTTTATCGCTTATCAAGCTGATAGAGTGGGCAGGACACCCCTCGAGCGGGCCGTTCTATGTTGCGCCACGTGACAAGCTTAGTTTCCGCGAATGCCAACAGTCTGGCGCTTCCCGGAGAAAGCCGCACGCTCGCGCGTTATAGACAAGTCTGATTAGCACTGTACCTGTACATGGGGCCATTACGTTTCTGGATCTGAGCCTGCAACTTGGTCATGGCCATGTGTGCTGGATATATGAGCCAAAAGCAAAGAAACCCATCTTGCCTTTTTCCTCAGCGCATTCCAAACTTGTGAAAAGAGGAATTGTTAACCTCTGTTTTAGAAATGCCCTGTTCAGGTACTGCCCTCACAGGTGAAAGAAAGCTTCGACACACAAGCAGCAAGGCTCAGACATGCGGGATATCCGTCTTACCCATTGACGACAGTTGCTGAGAGCTTACTTACGAAAGGACGTGAGGAAACTACCCAGCAGGCTCGTAGGGTTATCAAAAAAGTAACTGTTTTACCATACCTGCATAAGATATCTCACAACCTTAAGAAAGTTGGCCGTAGGGTTGGTGTTGATGCGGTTTTTTCGGCTCCGGAGAAGCTGTCTGGGCTGTGCAGAAAAGTGAACTCCTGTTCTGAAGAAAACCAGGGTTGCACCAAAAAACACCAGGACCAATTCGTAGACTGTGTGGAGGGAGTAGTGTACTCTATTCCCCTCTCGTGTGGCAGGAGATACGTCGGGCAAACGGGGCGATGCATCAATGATCGGCTACGGGAGCACAAGTATAACGTGTTTAGAGTTGTGTCAGGTCACCTTGGCCTGCACTGCCGAGACTGTTGCTGCGCTCCCGTTTCTGACAAGTGTGAAGTGATTAGGAAAAATAAAGACAAACTCCCTCGGGAAATCATTGAGACGCGGGAAATTGGAAGATTGGGGCAAAACTGTATTAGCACTCCGTCACTATATTTATCAGATAAGAAACGTTCCTATTTAGACACACAGTGACAGTGCATAGCGATGGCTAGTGAGCACGTGGCATCCAGGTCACGCTTTTTATTCATGTTTGTTTGTTGTGACAATACAGTATTTATACTCCCTGCTAGAACGAATAAACTTCAGTTGCAAGTCAGCGCCTTGTTTGTCTACCTTCTTGTTCTTGTCCGTGTCCTTGCGCTGTTTTAATCTTTAATCGCTAAATTTAGCGCGAAAATTCACGTCTTGTGACCCAGACACCCGCCGTGCTTCCCAGCTAAATTTACCGGGCAAAATCGGCGTCACGTGTCCTATAAAACCATTCAATTTCCCCACTAAATTTCGCAGGAATATTTACGTCACGCAACACACCAATTTCTTTACCGATTTCCTATAACGCATTTCATGAATTATAAACATAAAAGTCGCTGCCATTTTTTTTGTCTTTTTGCTAGTGTGTATTGTACTACTTGAGTCAGCTGGGCTTTTCCACTAGTTTCCGATAAAAGATATGGTCAAAAGAAAAGTACAACATTACAATACCGGCCGCCGTGTCCGTGACATCTTATCGGTCGGTAATTGATAAAAAAATATAAAAACGTTCCAAAACAGGGGGAGATAAACGGACTGACCTTAGCTTGGCTAAGCATGCGGCATGCGAGCCTCATAAAAAACGCATTAGCCAGTAGTTCCTCGGTCTAACGAATGTAGGTTAGTATCGCAGGACAGCGTCTATACCCATGCGGATACTTTTAGGTGTTTAGAACCTTCTATGGATTCGCCACATCTGAGATGGTCTCCCCAGGCGTTATACGGGGTTTTGTTCGTCGAATGTTCGATAGAGTTGTCATTGACGAAGTTTCGGAGAAGATATCTTGTGTGGTTCGTGTACGTACAGTCGGGAGCAAAAGTTTGCGGGGCACCGGAGCGCGTGCCGAAATGCATCGCCGCGCCGTGCAACGGCGCGCCGCCGCTTTAAAAAGCCGCGCTTTGCGCATGCGCGCCCTTCGTGCTGGCAGTCATGTCTCTTTCGCTCGTTTCTGTCCGACTCACTCCTGATAACCGGAGTCGGCGCCAGGGGCGCAAGTTGCCGTTTCGCTGGCTGTCATGCCTGGCGTCCTCTTCAGCCGCCACAGCAGCCGCGCTGGGTGACGGAGCGCCTGGTTAACCCCCTCCCTCCTTCCCTACGCGAGCTCCGTGACAAAGCGCGGCGGCTGAAGCAGACGCGCAGCATGACAGCTAGCGAAGCACTAACTCGCGCCCCTGTCGCCGACTCCTGTTATCAGGAGTGCGTCGTAAAGAAACGAGCGAAAGAGACATGAATGCGAACACGAAAGGCGCGCATGCGCAAAGCGCGTCTCTTTAATGCGGCGGCGCGCCGTCGGACGGCGCGGCGATGCATTTCGGCACGCGCTCCCGTGCCCCGCAAACTTTTGCTCCCGACTGTACGTCGTCTCCCAGATGCTCTCGCGTAAGAAATTGTATGCAATAAATTTAGCCGAAAATATAATCTGCTAATCTGAGCGGGAAATGTTCGGTGTCCAATTTACTAAAATTACATACAAAAAAAAAGTCACTATGCCTCATGACTTTGCAGTGTTAAACGTTGTCATGGCGGAATGTGACGCGACGGGCCGTAAGTCCGCTGAATTTTAACACAGCAATTTAACTGAGTCCAGCAGGTCGCCGAGCGTCTTGGGCGGTCGCCGCCGTTGTTCACGTGACATGACGACGAGCCGGGAATATTTTTAGGAGCGCGGGAAATGATGAAATAATCTAATGGAATATTAACCCCTGTAAGTTAATATTCCATTATGGAATATTAATGGGAAATTATGGAATATTAACCCCTGCGGAAGAAAGGCAAAAGTTTGACAAATTTTATTAACTAATTAACTAAACTCCGCTTACCCCCTATTGTTCTAAAAGTTTCTCGCAGCCCTCACAAGTCATTCGGAATGCTTCTGTCATCTCCAACAAGGTATGTGGTGACGTTGTTTTTATTAGACAAATATCTAAAAGAATGCAACAAAAGGCGATTACAAGCTTCTGACTACACCCCATCCCCTAGTAGAGATTAGCTGTAGAGCGCCTGGATTAAAGAAAAAAGTAGTAAAAAGATCGCTTTATAGAATAAATAATTACGTTATTAATTAACAAAATTCATTACACTATATAGGAACATTGCAGTTGTAGCTCGCCCGAGCGAGTTTGATTCTTTATGTTTATGCTAAACGCATTTCAGTTCAGGCAGCTTTAAATTTGTATGTTGTGTTGGAGCTATTAATCATTGCTAATATCTTTGAAGTTGTGAAATTTTCAATAAATAACTCTAAAATATTATAGCCTTTTTTTTTTTTTTTTGTGCACGAAGTTTTGTGTGTGTTCTAGATTCGAGTATGGCGGAATATCTATGTTGAGGCCCGGTTGGTATGATCTTTACGTACTTTATGAAAGTGTTCTTTTATTTTTGCAACAACGAGATTGTAAATCTTTGAGTGATAGAATAAAGGTAAGAATATTGGGTAGACTATTGGGAGACTGTACATGATACGCAACATTGGCGGTTGACCCTATCGCATGTTTATGGAGGAGACATTCACAAACAGAGGTCTTCTTACCAGATACTGCATACTAAACTGCAGCAAGTTAAGCGGGAATGAACAGGTTTATTATAGAGCTTGCGTTTTCATTAAACTTGAAGGTTAAGTCTCACATTATTTATTAAACCAATTGACCGGAAGGTTGCGTGCAGATTTTTAATAATAAATTAGATAAATCTAAATTTTCTTGAGAGGATACCTCCAAAAACTTGTGCGCTTTTATATAAGCTATGTTCTGGTTTCTAAAACTAGTACTGATTGCTTGATTAGTCTTTCATTATTAGACCCTTATATAATATATCTTGTTTTTCAGGGACCAATTTTATTTTGTTAGATACCAACCGTGCAGTTAGTTGTTGTATTCACTCGTTCGCCAATACGTAAACTCACCTATATCTGCTCAAAAAAATTAAAAATAAACATGTTTATCATTGCGATAAAGTGGGATTTTAAGTGAATAATATCATTAATAAACGTAGAAAGTAATAGTAGCCCAAGGATTAAAATAATAGAGACCCAAGTCCGTAGATATTCTTTCGGAGCACTTGCCACATGAGAAAATCAAAGCAAACACACATCGAATTGTTTAAACTTCACGTGTAACCGAATATTTTGGTTTGTAATACTTACATCTTTGAATTCTAGTTTTTTTTTTGTGTAGCGTTATTTTACAATTACTATTTAGTATCACTCATCTTAAAGCGAAAAGAAGTCGATTTGGCGCTACGAAACAAGACATTCTTAATGGGGATTTCGCGAACCTGGCTTTGACTGAGTCTGCAAACCTTCAAACTTTCAGCAAATATTCCCCGAAGTTTCATTTATAAACAGTGCTGCCCAAATTCTGATCAATCTCAGAATCTCAGTGAAAAGTTCAGTAATGAGGTAGTTTACTCTTTATTTTATAAAACGAATGCAAATATTTGCCTAATATAAAAATCAGACATATCTAGTTTTGATCATATAGTTAGTTTATTAATCAGAAAAAATAAAATAAGAATTCAAAAAGAATGTAGCGCTTTTCTTCTGCCACCTATTTTAAGCTTGATGTCTATTTTTCTACACGCACACAAAACTCGAACTTCAGTCGAATTTTTCATCGTACCGTTCGATAAATTTACGGAGAAGACAAACCTCTTCGAGGTCGAGCCTCACCAGGTACGCAAATTCCTTCTTATCTCAGCACCACCTGCTGTTAAACGAAAAGCTAGTCATGCATAGTAATTTAACTGTGGTCGGGGGTCACGAAGTTTCTACAACTAGATGAGACGATAATAAAACTTTAGGGTTTTCTTGCACGCGCGAAATATTTGTCGCACTCCAGTTCCAAGCCCACATAATTTTGAGCATTTGTGGAAACACTCAGCAAGTCGTGTCTTGTAAATGATGTAACATTCCGCGAGCGCCCCCGACAGGCGCCGTATATAACAAAAGATACAAGGTTTCGTGGTGCTTGGGGCCTTAAACCCGAAAAAGGATAAATCTCGTTTCTCCCTGCTATTTTTGTCTTTTCAATTTATCTGCAAATAAACCTAGTGGTTGGACTTGCAAACCAACAACACGCTTCGAGGTATTATGTAGAAGGTTCGTAAGGCTCTATTATGACGGTCGCAATTCTGTTGCTTTCCGTCCTTGTGGTTATCACTGCGAGTAAGTACCCTGGACACTAAGTCAGTCACCTTCAACATATTCGCCAGTCAGCCGAAGACACTTCTCTACCATCAAAATATTATTTAGAAAATGTGCTGGTGGGTGAAATATAACCTGTTTTATCGTATATTAACCTTCAGTAGCTTATAAACTCAAATTCCCTAGAGAAAGGAATGCATACTTACCTTCATCAAAGCGTACAAGAAATATCTTGGTGCTAAGTTGTAAAGTGATAAACTTACACAACAAAAAATATTACAAAGACGCTTTTTTTGCGTCACTTGAAACATCTTTACGATGGAACTTATACGAATGTTCAAGTAGGCCGTTGTAGTAGATTATTAAAATGTATTGTGAAAATATTTATTCACTAAAGGAGTCCAAACCCTAATTTTGCAAGGACTGGTCACTTACTACGCCCATTACGCCTATTATGATGTAATTTTTTTTGTATTTCATATTCAAAAACAGCTTTGGTTGGAACTTCGAATCATTGGCATTCATATTAAGAAAGATGTAATGAGCCGTAAATGTGTATGTTAGACTACGGGTAACTATAATCGCTAAAAGCTTGAGAAACTCAGGGTTTCGGAGAATGCTTTTTGCTTCGCGATACTTTCACGGTGTTCTTACCAAGTAAAGCCGCACTATCATTAGCTGAGGATACATAATAAGAATCGCCGAGGTTTATTATTATTTATTAACCTGTCAGCGACTATATAGCTCCTATATTGAGAAGTAGCGAACAAAAGGCCTACGATATTCTTTTGTACCACCGTGCTTGACGTTTAATATATTTCCAGAATATTCCTGTGCAAGGAAATACCACGCTCATAAACTAGTGTCTCAGAGCAAACATTGTTAAGAGCAGTCTGTCGAGTCATTTTGGTTTAAGCGGAATTGCAGTCAATAATTTAAAAGAAAAATCTGTTTGCCAATTGCTAAGAGTTGAAGATGTAACATTTATTTGCGAGAGGCGAAAAGGCCTTTGATTTTTCGATTTTACTTTACTATCAGATGCTTCGGTGCAGGCAAAGCCATTTTCAAGGTGAGATTTTAATTACGGACAACGCTCGCGTGACAGCAGATAAACCAGAACTACTGTTTAAGACTAAATAATGAGCTAATTATTATGCGTAGCTGCTAATACTTGCGAGCTTCTACCACGGGCTGTTTGATTCATATAGGGTATGTTAATGTGGGGACGTCCTCTATCAAAACAAAAGTTTATTGAATTCATCACCCCACGGCTTCGTTGTCTACGCCATCTCATTTTATGGTAAAAATATCTCGGGATACGTATAAAAAAGTTTTCAATTAACAATTGTAATTGTTTTTTTTTTTACTTTGGGCGACATTTAATTTGGCTGTAACTACAGTTCAGCATAGTCAGAACGGGAAACATATTGTTTAATGTTTTTAATTTCCACCTACTCACGGAGAAACAGTGAGTCATTCACGTTATTACATTAACATTTTGATATATATATCCTTGTGGTTCATAGGGTACTAAAATTTTAAACAATGCTAATGTACTTCACGACAAATTGAAACGAAGCTCTCAACAAAGCTACAGAATTAAATTATTTGTTAGATCTTTTGCAGAAGGCACAAACGCAAGAGCATTTATTACGAACTCGCCTTTCAAGAATTTTTTAAGTTTTTTGCGGGTCGTGTTGATCTTAACTATTCTTATGCTCAATCTTGCTGAGCTTAATTTTCCAATGTTTGATCGTTTTTACCGCACATTTCCTGCTCCATAAGTATTCCGACAAACATATTACAATATTTCGAAACCCCACATTACATTATGAATATCGACGCTATCTTTTGGTAAGGAGCTGGCTCTCTGTTGATCAATCAAAACAGACATATTGATCTGTTATGTTGTTCATGTTGTCTTCAGAGATACGACGCACCTTTGCCATGGGAGTTCCTGTGATGAAGGTAGTTCACGTGAGTAAGCACGAAAAATGTGCGAACGTCAAAATAAATATAGAAACTTAGCACCAGCCACTAAGACCTCGGCGCCAAGTGACAACTGCCCATTCATAGAAAAAAAAAGTGACAACCAGCACCTAACAAAACAAAAAACACTAAGTAAAAATTACTAGCCATGCCACTCTTTGAAGGTGGATGATCAGCGAGGCTGTTTACCACACTACACAGAGGGCGGTGTTTTCCGCCCGCCGCCGCCGCTAACCTTCTCGTTGCCACTCCCGCCGTTGCTCTTCGTAGGCACGTCACTAGACACGCGCGACAGGACCGCTACGTGTTTCTTCTAACTTCTTGTTACTCTTTTCTTTTTATTGCAGCCGTTTTGTATTATTATTTTATATTTTTATATTGTATTTTATGTTTATACTATTTTTACTATTTACCGTCGTTTAACCCTCCCGCCTGTCACTGGTTCGTGACGCTGATCCATAAAGCTCGTCCGTGACGATTTTCTCATAGGTAGCCACCCGTAAAACAAATTCTGTTTTATAAATGGGATGATTTGATCATTGCTGCCTACAGTTTCCACGCCCACGCGCTGATACCTACCAAATCTACATTCGCGTGAATCAAGAAGACATGTTTTCTACCATAGCTTCCTCTGTACTGACAAAGCATGGCAGATCGCCACGAGACGCGGCCACCAAAAGTGAAAAGGTGCAATGGCAAACAACGGATGAGAGAAGAATTATGTAACGGGCGCCCCGCTGCAGCGAGACGCCGAAACGCA